AAAATGAGAGTTGAAAGAGATTTACCGCTTGCAGTTCTTGCCTCAAATGGATCACGTTTACTTGCAACGAACTCAAATCTTTCAACAGTTGCAGAATTGTCTCGGTTAAATTCGTGCTTAAAAGGTTACCACTTGAATGATATACCAAACAGAATTATGCTCAGCTCACGAGTTCATCGCAATCGAACTCATCCAATAAAAATCACCTACATTAGTGTATAGATACGGCGCTGCTGAGGCAACCTAGCATACATCCTTTTGATTTCGTAACTCTCAGAAAATGCAAAAGCCTAGTAATCAATGCAGCGCCTGTTAAAAATTGTCAATCCAGTAATGCTACAGTGATATCGATTTTGCTCGCTCACTTGCATTTGTGAATAATTTTTATTCCGAGGGATTATGTCGAGTTCAATTTTCAGAAGAGGTCATATAATTTTTTGACGATATCAGATTGCTTCCGATTATAGAAGCAACGATCTTTTCCCAAGACCGAAACGTTCTAGTTTCCATCATCCATCGAATTGATCACAGAACGATTGAGTTTGCTAACCTGTTCAAGAGGGTAGCCTTCAGTTGCTCGTATTCCTGCTTGTTCTGTGCCAATGCTTGCTCAGTTTTGCTAATCCGATCCCGTATGGTGCCACGTCTGCTTATTACTTCATTTTTGGCATTGACTGCATTTGATTGACGTTGCCTTGCGGCTGCTAGCACCTTCAAAAACATGGTCAGCAGTTAAAAACACTGCTTTGTTTCAGATCGCCGTCTTATTGTCGCCATAATTGAAGATATGATTCTATAAATGCACCAAATCCTGATACAATTTTTTGAGTGAGATACGTGTTATCAATAGTTCGGGATGGAAGTAGAATTTAAATATACGTTCCATTCAACAAAATGACCGTGTCACACAAGATTNGATGGAAGTAGAATTTAAATATACGTTCCATTCAACAAAATGACCGTGTCACACAAGATTCTATTTGGAAAAATTTAATAAGTTGGCCTTTGAGTATTAGAAAACGTTGAAATATGCGACATCTTAGAATTTATTCAGACTCATTCAGTTTTGACCGATTCGTAAAGCTGACTCTTTCGGCTGCGTCAATACGATGCCTGTGCGCTCGGTTCCACTTGTTTCTGCAAAACCAGATGCAATGCCATTTCGGTTTTTGTCTCCTTATTGAATTCAATTCGTTTTGAGCATTTTGCACATCCCGAGACTCCTGTAACAAAGCATCATTCGCCAAATGAGCAATTTGTGATGATTTCAAACAATGAAGCCACAGGTTCCCCCTGTCAGCTAAAATAATGAAGTGATAGCAAAATACTTTTGTTCACTCGCGATGAGAATTTTAAGAATAATGCTGGTGATAATATTCTTTTTTTTTCGAACTGGGAACGATATAAAACATAGAGAACTTATCACTTTGTGAAGAAACGTCATTTGGGTGTCGGGTTTTCTGACCTCGCTAATTTGAGTTGTATTCACCTTTATATTGTGAGATTTTTGTACTACTCATATGCCTCGATTTCCTGGTCTAAAGTTTCTTACTCTCCCGTGAACTCAATGGGGTGTGATGTTACCATCTAATAAAGTTTTTTTCTGAGCGAACCTTTGCGATTCGATTATTTGCTTCTGCGATTTGTTGACCTACCACAACAGATTCTTGATTCGCTGCACTAAGTTGTTCCTCCAATGAATGACGTTCATCAGACAAATTCTTCTGTTTTACAACAGCATCCGAAGTTTCACCGCTCAGTTTATTCTTCTCAACGGCCAATTTTGAAATCTGCAGCAGTGAAAACCATCATAATATTCTCATTACTCACCAAACGTATTTCGTAACCGTTAAATTTATTTTCTTGACCCGATCGTCACGATGAATTTACATGTCAAGTGAACAGTTGCAGTTGCAAGATGTGACATCTACGTCAAAGACATTGTCGATGGAAATATTTTTACAGGATTGCTTATTTCTTCACAACAAAAGGAACTCGCAAACTATTTCGGCAAAAGCTTTTTTGATTCAATCGAAAGAACGCCATGAATGTTTACGCACAAAAGGCGTTGAATTACATACATATAATTCCTTGCTCTCATTGCGTTCAACGTATATTTCGTCTACCAGTGCAATAGCTATCAATAGAATTGATTTTAAATGTGTCAACCACATTCATCTTTATGGAATAGAATTGACTCTAAAAGAATGAACTTGCCCCATTTTGCACTTTCCCGGAATATTTCGTCACGTTACCAACAATTTTAACGATCCGTTCATGGATTTCCTTGAATTCGTCATCTAACTCAACATCACGCTGCAAACGATTCAGGTTTAGTTTTGAACCAATGCAAACGATTGTTTTTGCCGAGTAATTTCAGTATCTAAAACAAAAATCCGGTGAAAGCTTTCATGGATTCGAAAATAATTTCAAATTTACCAATGAGATATTCTTAAGCAATTTTGTTCGTATTTCAGAGGATAATTCCATTTCAGCTATCACATGCATATTCCATGTAGTTATATTCTTCAACTGAGAATCAACTCACAAGCGTAACGGTTGCGTTTCTAACAAAAGTCGGAAGAGTCTCTGTTAGAATGCAATCATGCATCCTGATAAAACCACCGTTTTCCAGTTTCTTCATTCAAGCAAAACTGGCTCATTTACCTTATTTCTAATATGCAGGGGTATCTTTAGCTCAGAGAACAGGGGCCAGGCAATTGCATATTGACAAACGATGAGCAGGAGAATCGTGCACGATCGCTTCATTGCTTCAGACAATTACTGAATTGTCGTTTGGATGAATGCACATCCAAACAACCCTAGAAACAGACGTTTTCAGTTTCTGCATCATCACCAGCAATATCCTAAA